TCTGCCGAAGAATCAGCCATGTAGGGCTCTGTCTGACCTGGGACACCACGTGCCAAGAATCTAGAGTCAGAGGAGGCTGTGGTCAATGGAGCCCACACCTTCTCTGAGGAGTCCCTTATCCCCAAAGACTCCATAGTTTCATAGAGGTCTATCTCCACCTCCCATAGGGTCTGTCCCAAAGTCCCAACCTTACACTAAGTTTCAGGGTCATACATTGTAGACCCTGGACACAGACCTCAGTTCTGTTGGGCTGAAAGTCATTCAGTTAATTGTTGGCGGAAATTGCCCAGGAGGAACCCAGGTCTGAAACCCTGAAGTGAAGGAATCTGCATGTTGTCCCAAGGTCTGAGAAGAGGTGAGGATGCAGGATCCTTTCTATGTGCGTGTTTTATAGTCCCCAAGACAGCAGGCACCTGGAAAAAGCCAGTGGGCTTGCTCACAGGTGTGTACTTCCCTGCCCCCTCACAACCCAGCCCACTCAACACTACCTCTTTCTGTTTTCATCCTGCTCCTCTCCTGTGTCCTCCTGTCCATTGGGACCCTGGCTTCTCTTGTGTCCCCAACCACAACATGCTCTGGTTGGTAGCCTGCCAGAGCATGATGGGGTCTGTGAGTGATGGGAGCCAGATCCATCCTGAAGCTTTGGAATCGCCCTAACCCTTTTAGTCTGCTTCCGGGTTGCCTGCTTCACTAACAAGCCTCATGAAGCAAATAATTTGTCATACCTGTGAGTGTGTTGCATGCAGGAGTCTGAGATACACACGCTGGGGATATTGCAGTCCTGACAGATGACTGTGAATTCTGACACCAGCAGAAAAGGGCTGCTGGGAGCTGAGTGTTGTCAGAATTCTTCCAACCTGGAAGCAATCTTGAAGGCCGTATGCAGAACCCTGGCCGCTGAATCTTGAGGGTACAGTCCTGATTTGACCATTTCCATATATAATCTTGGAAACTGGAGTTTTTGAGTCAGAAAAGTAAAATAAGAAGTAGGGCGGGAAAGGGAGCTCAGGAGTTAGAACTGCTGTACCTGAGTTATTGCTGGACTCTTTCTAGGCATATTCCAGGCATATTCAACTCTCCTTCTGGTAAAAAAGGAAAGAGGTGGCTGCAGTCACTTTGCGCCTGAACACTTTGCTTTCGGTATAGTTATCAATTAATTAATTACCTAATTAATTAGTGTATGTGTGCATGCACACACGTGCATTCCTGTGGAGGTCAGAGAACAACTCTTAAGTTGGCTCCTTCATTCCAATTTTAGGTGACTTCCAGGGATCCAGCACTGTGAAAAGTGCCTTACACACTATGTCATCCCACTGGCTCTATAATAACCTCTTCTTTAAAAAGGAGAGATTTACTTATTTTTATTTTATCTGTTTGAGTGTTTGACTGCTAAATGTATGTGTACCACAAGAATGTAGTACCCAGGGAGGCCAGAAGAGGGCATCAGATTCCCTTCCCCATGCTTCACCCAAAAGTGGAGTTATAGGCAGTTTTGACCTGCTGCTGGGAACTGAAATCCAGTCCTCTGCAAGACTTTTAACTAAGTACTTTTAACTCCAGAGCCATCTTTCTATCCTTTACTAAAGCTATTTTAAGATGGAGCCTTCTCGAACTAAAGGTTCTGAGACACAGTCTTTCTCCATTCCTTCTTTCATATTTCTTTCTTTCTTCTGTCCTTCCTTTCTTAATTTTTTTTTTGGTAGTGGAAATTGAACCCAGAACCTCCCATGATGCTCCACCCCTGATCAGAACCATATTTTCAAAGACTGATGCTTTGCCATGGCTCCTCATGTTGCACAGATGTGTGTGTAGATCTAGCGCCCTCTGTTAAGGTTGCAAATCCAGGACAAATTATCTTTGGGTGTCTTTGGTGTTTATCATCTGCTATTGCCCGCCTCTGTGTCTCACCGAGCACCCTTCAGTCATCAGGCAAAGCCCTTGGGTGGTATCAACAGACCTCTAACTAACTAGAATTCAACCAGCATACCCTGAATTTGCACAGCACAGCCAATCATGGGGCCACAGTGCAGTTTCCATGGTGCCAAGGGTTCCCCACAACTAGAGGGTTTTACGGTCAGCCTGCCCAGCCCCACGAAAGACAAAAGTTGGGCTCAGACCCGGCTGAACAGTTTTCTCAGTGGCTTTAAGCAGTGACAATCTCTAGGGCAACCATTCCCCCAGTCCTTTTTCATGCCTGCTCGGCCATGTGACCAACCTGACACCAGGAAGGGAAGGCTATTGTCCCAGGGTTGTGGTGTTGAACGACAGAGCTGGTGGTCAGCAGACAGGAAGACATTCAGAGGCAATGAGAAGCACCCGCCTGACCTGAGCGGATGCAGACCCCCTTCGTGTGCTGTGGGAAACTTTGGGAATCACATGACTTTGTGCCTGTTGGGGCACTCATCTCCCCTGGCTTGGTGTAGAGGACCAGTGATGGCAGGACAGTTTCCAGAGTTGGCTTTAAGCCCTCATTAGCCCAGAAGAATCCTTTTAGAGCATTCTCTTCCTCTAGGACTCTTTAAACCACGTGCCTGGCAACAGTTCCCCATCAGGGAGGAAGGAGTGCAAATACTTATGCTGTGCTGTGTTCCAAACTAAGTACCCTGAGACCTGACCTTAAGTCCCACATTGCCCCCAGACCCAAATCACGCGGGGGTTGGCCAACCATGAGAAGTCTCATATTAGACTGAGAAAGCTTACTAGAAGGATCTCCCAATTAACTTTCCACAGCCTGGCTACCAATGCCTTGAAAAATGTCGGCAAGTATTCTACCGCTGAGCTGTCTGCCCTGCCCTACAACTCAGCTTTAAAACATATACTGTTGTTTAACAATTTCCTCGGTACTGAAGCATTTCTTCTGTATTAGGGTGTTCTAAGTGACTGGTGTGTGTGTGTGTGTGTGTGTGTGTGTGTGTGTGTGTGTGTGTGTGTATCTATGTATATGTTCAAAGGGTATTTTTTTAGACTGTATGTGGTCTGGGTAGTCCAACAGGCAAAGAAACCAGTAGAAATTCAGTCCACAAAGCTGGATGTCTCGGTAACCTCAATCTGACACTGGGGCAGAGAAGCAACATGGGAGGAAGACACTGAGTTAAACTCCCCAAGAGAGCTCAGGATACACTTAGGGTCTGAGCATGGAGGAGGTAAAGGAAGGGGGAGCTCAGGGCCCTTGACATTGGTGAAGATCTCAAGACGCAGCTGCTCCATCCTGGGCCTGAGGGGCAGAATCAGGTGAGGGTCCCAGCAAGAGAATGAACTGGATTTAGGTCACGGGGCTGTTGTGTAATAAAGGAACGAAGCAAGCACCAAAAGAGTTCATGGCTATGGCTTCAGCCTGGCCTGGAGAGGCAGCTCAGACAAGGATCTTAGGTCACCTCGGACAAGACAATTCGAGAATATAGCTCCCACCTGGGCCTGGGCCTAGAGGGGTAACCTGACTGGGTGGAGAAGTGTGAGATTCTGGGTCAGAATCAGCTGGAGAGGGTGAAGTATTACATCTTGCTTGAGCCTGGGCCTCCTGGAAGGAGAGTAGTAGGTGGAGGGGACCTACTGTGAGTCAACCAAGACATCTCACAGATGCAGTACCTACAATGACCATGAGGGGCAGCATGGGGGCAGGGCTGCTTAGGATCCAGAGTCAGCTTGTCAGGAGTATGCTTGTCAGGAGATTGGAGCTTCCTCCTGGGCCTCAGCCTGGAGGGGCAGAGTCACTGGATGACAGGAGTCGGGGTGGGGGTGGAGAAAGGAAGGGACATCGAATCAGACTAGTTTGCTTGCTTTTAATTGAAGTGTTTTCAGTTTGCCTTCCTCTTTATGTGTGACACCAGGAATCCCAGCTCACACTTCAAACACACTAGCTACATACAGTGTTCTTCCACGCTTATTATTTCAAAATAATCAGTATCCACAGCCGCTACTCAGTTTTGAAAAACACCAGAGGCTGGAATACAAGGACTCGGTAGATGCAACTTTACTAAAACTTGAAAATCTTCCTTGCCTCTTCGATTTGTTTTGCATTAATGGGAGGCTTTCTCTGGCTGCCAGGCTGCAGGAACTTCTTCACATTGGGCAGGCTGCTGATTCTGTTCTTCAGGGCCTGTGATCAAGAAAACACAGTCTGAGAGTCAGAACTGTTCATGTGCACAGTGCAAAACCTCTGAGCCTCTCCCAGCAAATGACCAAATGTATCCTTGCAGTAGGGTAAGAGTAGAGATAAAAAGAACCACAAATCTATGAACTAGAAACCATAGCTCAGCATAATTTCCTTAAGACCTCCTTTGACATCCAATTGCCTTCTCCTCAGGCCCCTGGACAAACCATGAACAGAGTGTGGTGCAGAGCACAGAGCACTGAGTCTCTCAGGTGTGAAAGCAGAGACTACCAAAGAAAAGTGAAGACGTGAAAAACTGAGTTGGAAATGGGAACAGAAAATATTAAACTCTGACCAGGAGCAACTCACAGTCAGTTTTCACACTGGAGATAAGGATGGGTTCACTGGGGTGTGGGGGGGGGGGAGACAACATGGTGGGGACCATGGAGAGAGAAGCAGAGTGCTGAGGAGTCAGAGCTGAGGAGGGGTCAGCGTGACAGAGACCTGCTTAGACACTGAATGTGCAGAGACAGGCCACAAGAGATGGAAGATGAAGGCCAGAAGCAGCCTGCAAGGAACAGGGGTCCAGGGAGAGAGCTGAGGGGTACTGCTCCTTTCTCATGACAAAAGACAAAATATTCTTCTTGGGGTACCACCTCCAAATCTCCATTCACAGAAAGATTATTGTCATGTCTCAAACCAGGGTTCAGTAGCTCAGTTTGGAGGTCAAAGGGTGGGCCCTCAGCAGCCCACAGGCCACCATTATATTCTCAGAGCCATGAGTGTGAGGCTGCCTCTCTGAGGTGATCTCACCTTCAGCAGGGGGAAAGGGGCCAGAAGGCTGGAGTCAAGCTCTTCAACATAGAGAAGAACTTCCAGCAGGTGAATGTCTACCCTGGTCAGCTTGTTACCGACAAGGTAGTCTTGTCCGTGGCTCTTCAAGACCTACCAAATTAAAGGAGACACATTATGAAAACATACAGTTGGGCTGGAGCCATTGACTTTCCCCAAGTCTCCCAATAAGACACTTTGCCTCTATTTACCTTCTAGTAAAGAGCCATTACAAGTTTGTATATTGTTCATGCATACTGAGAAAAGAATTATAATTACCACATTGTGGTAGTTTGAATGTAATTGACACCCCTAATCTTATAGAGACTGTCACTATTAGGGGGAGTGACTTTGTTGGAGTGGGTATGGCCTTCTTGGAGGAAGTGTCACTGTGGGGCGGGCTATGAGGGTGCCTATGCCCAGGATACCACCCACTGAGTGAGCTGACTTCCTGGTGCCTATAAGCCAAGAGGCAGCCAACATGACAAATGCCTGCAAACGTCCATGCTCCCCATCAGATTGATAAGGGACTGAACCTCTGAAAAGATAAGTAAGTCACCCCAAGTAAATGTTTTCTTCATAAGAGTTGCTGTGACCATAGTGTCTCGTCATAGCTATGAAAACCCTAAGTAAGACATAGACTCAAAAGCAAAAGTAAGCTTCAAGTGTTCTTCAGTTCATAGCGCGCTGTATACAGGGAACTCAGGATTCTCAGACATGAGTTAAGCTGTGATGGCTAGATCGTGTGTCCTGTGAGGCAGAGTCTTAACTGTCAGCACCATAGGCTACAGGGGACCGTGTGAGAGCACCTAAACTCTCCCTGCTTCCATAGAGCAAGGCCGAGGTGGGAGAACGGTCGGGGGATGGAATGAGACTCAGAGAGATTCTCTGTAGGTTTACAGTCAGCGCTGTTGGAACACAGTCTGAGAATGGAGTCACGAGAAGATTTCTGAGTGCTTGTGAGAAAACTCCAAGACCCCAAGGAAAAAGTCCTCTGACCTCAGCTTCTTCAAACACCGCAGACTTGTTCTTGGATTAAGCTTTCGTGCTCTTCCAAGTATAGTGGAGAGGAGTGAGTTCACCTCAGCTTAGTCTTTACGACGGGCTACTGTTGTTTCTTTATATGCCACAATGGAAAACATGTTTTGGGCACTTTTGACTTGATCATCACATGTGATTTTCTCTTGTGACTGCATCCTTTATTCATGTGACTTCTTTTAGCCCTTAGAGTGAAAAGAGTCTGTTGCTCTGGATCGAGCTGTCTGTTGCATGAGACTTCAGTTTGCTCTCAGTCTCCCAGGTCCCACAGCCTCTAAACAGTAATAACAGTCTCTGAGGAATGTCTAGGATCCCTTATCCACTAGGATCAGAGCTTTGTTCTTAGCTTTTGCTTGACAGAAGATCAAGTCAGTCTGATGTGTTCGTGATCTTCCTCCAAAGAGAAACCCTGACTAAGAGAGACACTACATGTACACCGACACCCATTCATGTGTGGAGTGTGCATGGCTCTCCTCCCAAGCCTGCCATCTGTGACCCTAACTCCTGCAGGCCAGTGTTCCTTTACATCTCTTCATCAGCCTCCTCCTCTCCCCTGCATCACTGTCCTAGGTCAGGTTCTCCTCCGTCTTTGAAGCTCTATCCTATTCTCCTGACAGCCAGTGGCTCTCTGGCCTCCCTGTGTGATGTGACAGAATATTTTCCCATCTGTGTTTTTCTGCAGTTTGACCTGGAATTGAAGCCCAGTGCATCTGCAGGATCTAGGTTTATCTCTGGTATGGCTCAGCCTTCCAGAGATCAGGTGTGGTTATGGCCTTGAACCCTGTTGAATGTGGACACTAGATTGGCGTGACCATGCGGTGCTCCTTCACAGGTCATTTTTTTTTCCAGACCTAATGCTTTATTCTCTTCCTGTGTCAAGCATCATTTATTGTCCAGTTGCAGTAACAAACAAACAACCCCCTCCTCCCAAAAAACACCAATAAATAATACTGAGCTCTCTGGTTATGGATCCAGGCAAAACTCAAACAAAACTTTCCTAACAGCTAACAGAGAACACTTTAAGAGAACTGAGCATGAAACCCGCAATTGCCCGTTCCCATTACACCCTGAAGTCAAATCAATCGACTGTGACAATGATGAGACCTAAACTATTAAAGCCAATTAAGACAGTGGATAATTACACCTTTATATATAAAGGAATCATAATCCAGGAAAACAGAATTAAAATAGCCTGCTAGCAGCAGGTTTCTACCATCCTTTCAACGCTGATGAGATCTGGAATGATTACAGCATTAAGGATATAGTCAGAAAAATCACAGGTAGGAGTGGCGGACAGGTGGCTCACATTCAAGACTCAAGTCTACTTAAAAAAATGATCTTACTAGCACTAGTTTCTAGCTCCTTCCTTTTGGTTTCAGAGGTGCTTCCACAACCCGGAAGGATTGCAGCGCAAGTTGCATACTGGCCCTGAGCTCTAGAGGTGCCCCGGCTACACGAGTTTGGTGACATACTGGAAGAGCTGCTCCGCAAACACTTCAGTGGAGAACTTCTCTGCCACCCTGGCTCTTCCAGCCAGGCCCATCGTGGCTTTCAAGGATGGCTTGTGGATGAACTGGTCCATTGCCTCTGAGAAGCGCACAGGGTCAGGCTCACACAGGAACCCTGTGACCTTGTGGACGACAGACTCCAAGGGCCCCCCTGAGTTGATGGCGATGACTGGGCACTGCATGTACATGGCCTCCAGGGGGACAATGCCGAAGTGCTCATTGCTCGGGGTGTAAAGCACACACAAGCAGCCGTGGAGGAGCGAGATCTTCTGTCTGTCTGAGAAGGATGGCAGAAAGGTCACGTGGCGCTCAAGGTCTGACTGCTGGACTATTTTCTTTAACTCCTTATAGTGTTCCACGTTTTCCAGGACCCTATCGTTGTAACCACCACCCATGAACAGATGAACCCTCTCCCAGTCTTGAGATGTCAACCGTTTGCGAAGCTGGACTAGGGCGCTCAGCGCCAAAGGTAGATTCTTCTTCTCACAGGCCATTTTTATACAGCATCCTGTGGGCAGGGAGCTGCACAGGGAGGCTCATGGAAGGTCAGTACGGCAGCACCCTGTCCCTCCCAACCTCTGTCTTTCTCTTGTCCTGGGAACACAGTGTCGACAGACTTCGAACAGCCTACTTACTTTTTCATAGGCAGGCAAGTATCGGTTTTTGATCTTGTCTTTTACCAACAAGATCTTGGCTTCTCTTTGGTCTGGGGGACATATGACCAATGGCAGCATCATCTCAGTGAGATCAAAAATACCCTCTGTGTACATGTCGATCCTGAAAGACGAAATTATCCAAATGGTTAAGGATTCTCAAAGGTTCCCTATTTTACATTTCAATCTAAAAACCTAAGAAATTTACACTGGAAGATGTTTGCAAAGTTACTTCATCTAGTGGGTATAAACATAAAAAATTTATATTTAACAGACATATTATCTTTCCTTCTAGGACATCCTATCTGTTCAGATACAGTTTTAATTTTTTTTTTTATACGCAATGGCCCCAACCCAAGCACAAAGAGCATCACTCACCCACTTAGAGATGCAGTCATGATATACTTGGTGGTATCCTGGAAGATAACCATCAAACTCTACAGCAGACTTGCATGCTCTCTGACGTGATTTGATCTCTATAGCCGTGCTGAAATTCTCAGAGCTACGAAATTGTGGTATTGGGAATATCATGGGAAGGTGTGTTACTTTTGTCTATGTGGCATTTGTTTAACTCTGTGAAACTGTGATGCTTCACTTCTCTATACACCCGATGGCTTCATAGAGCTCTGAATGGCAATAGTGAGGCAGGAGGAAGGAAAGGAGGGACTGGCAGGCAGAAAAAATTATATTGTAGGAGAAATCTGGGAAGAAGGGGTTCATAGAAGTAGCCACATAAATAGGAGGACAAGAGGGGCAGTCACTCAGCTACACAGCCATCCATGGAGTAAGAATGAGTTTTATAGAGTAAGAGAGTGAGAAAAACCCAGAGGCAAAAGGAGGATGGGATAATACAATTTAAGAGAAGCTAGCAAGAAACAAGTCAAGCTAAGGTCAGATGTTTATAACTAAGAATAAGCCTCCGTGTGATTCTTTTGAGAGCTGGGCAGAGGACTCTCCCCAAAAGAACAAAAAGAGCAAAAAGTATCCTACTCCTTCTACATATATACCACAACACTGCCTCCCATGTGCTCAACACCAAGCCCTGGCTGAGCCTTCAGGTGCGCCTCTCTCATTCTGCTGTATGGCTCAGAGTCATTCTTGGTCAGTGTAGAAGTCTCCTGTTCATTTCTCGGGAAGAATATCTGTATAACCAGAACACACTGCTGCTGGATTCTGGCCTTGCTAACATTTGTCAAGACTTGTCTGCTTCTTCATTCATGTAAACCACAGCACACTGGGGACATATGCATTCCCTTGTTCCAAACTGTAATTTGTACCATTCTTTTTGGACAGAGGTTCAGCATCATACAGTCACACATCACCATTATTATACCCTCAAAATGTGTTTTCCTGTTTTAGTAAGTACTTTTGCAGGATCCTAAAACACAACATTCTTCAATTGTAGAAGATTTTGGTCTCCCCCATATCCCAGTCCTGGCACCGTGGCAGCTAGTGCAGGAGGACTGATCTACTTCCTTCTTGTCCATGGTGAGGATGGGAACATTTCATATGATATAAACCATGTACTGTAAGTTTGAGGCCAGCCTGGTCTACAGAGCTAGTTCTAGGACTTCTAGAGCTGTTACACAGAGAAACCCTGTCTCACCTGTCCCCTTCCCCTCAAAAAAGAAATGAGCCATGGAACATATGCCCTGGTGTCTGCTTACTTTACACGATGTAATGTCCACGCTGTATCTTTGTATTGCTTTTCTCATGTATGTTCATGGCTAAAATCATACACTGTGCTCCTCTTTCATCTATTATTGAATATCTCGGCTGATTCCACCATAGGAAATCATAATAATGCCGCTAGAAGTATTTCTATACAAGCACTGTTACAGTCAGGTCCATTTCCCATGGACATATGTTTCCCACACCACATTTAGCTATTTGAGCAGCTGTGGTGTTCTCACACAGTGGTTCATGACTGAAGGATTTTATGAGAGCTCTGGGTCCCAGCATGGGTGGTACAGTAATCCTGGCTGCTTTAGTCCTGAATTAAATGCTCCAGGTAATCTTGGCACTTGGGAACCTATCTCTCTAAGCCTCCTTGTGTTGAGCAGTTCATTGGTGTGGGAGAATTGTCTGTATTCTGCCAATCATGTATTTTAATAAAACGCTGATTGGCCAGGCAGAAAGTATAGGCAGGTCAACCAGACAGGAAGTAGAGGTGGGACAATGAGAATAGGAGAAGGCTAGGGAGGAGGAAGCTCCCTCCACCATTCCTGCCCAGATCATCGAAGAGGCAACATGTGAGCTGACAGCTGAAAAAGGTAGCAAGCCACGTGGCTAACATAGATCAGAATAATGGGTTAAGATAAGTCATAAGAACTAATAAGTAGCCTGACCTAATGGGTCAATCAGTTTATAATCTTATGGAGTCCTGTGTGTGATTTTCCTTGGGAGTTTCTGGTTGTGGGGTACCAGGCGGGACAGAAACCCCAACAAGCCAGCCTTCATGTTACAGTTCATAGAACTGGCTGGCAATTCAGATGCTTGCTCTGCGCTGTTCCTACTCATGGGATGTGGGAGGCAGTTCCTTCACCCTCCTTTCCCTAGGACTCCTCCTCCAGCCTCAATCTTGTGTCCTTTGTCCTAAACTATTGGCTGAGGTCCAGCACTGAAGCCTTGGGCATCTGGAGTCATGGCTCCCCCATGCTCAGACCCTTGGCAATTCTGTCTGTGTACTGTGCTGACAACATTATTCTCGGCTGTAGCCACACTCACCTGCATCCACCCCATTTGTTCTTCCCTCTCCTTCACGGACTCTTCCATCCTTGGCCTAAGTGATATAACCAGCCTGCTCCTAGACACAAAACCTTCCACCCTCTTGCTCATTCATGGAGGGACCCAAATTTCCTTTGTTTCCCCTTGGAGTAACAACAGGAAATATACCATACAGGGCTCTCTCCTTCGCATCCTTCCCGTAGAGGTTGTATTTGGTGGCGATGTAGTTGAGAATGGATCTGGTCTGTACTAGCGTCATCCCGTCAATCTCCACCATGGGCACTTGCTGAAACATCAACCTCCCATCTGTGAAAGAAGAAAGGGAAAGGTCTCTGAGGTGTCCAAGTCTCACTTCTCAAAAGCAGGAAAATTGTATTGAAGTGTCTGATCATGCAAAGGGAAGATAAATGATCGACTCTCAGTCTTTCAGGCTGAACCCCATTTACCTTAGCGTCTGTTTCCTCTCTGTCTCACTCATATTCTTTTGACTTTTGAGCTTCTCACATCCATCTTTATTTCCTATCCAGACACATATTATATTTCTAGTGCCTGTTTTCATGTCAGTTCATGTCCCTGGATGCATTTGGAAGAGGAGGAGGGACAGCAGAGAGCCACCATGAAAGCAGAACTAGTATGCTTGACAAACTCATCATCAGGGAAACTACCATGAGCTCTCCAGCCTTTTTTTGGTGGTTGATAGTAACTCATAGGTAGTTTAAAAAATCATCACTGCTCTTTTCTTTCCATGATGTAATTGATGCTGATGTGTCTGTGTGTTTGCAGGGCAGTGTATGTGGAACCCTGTCTGTGTAAGTGAGTGAGTCATCCTTACTGAGATTGCTCACTCTGGAGTAGAAATCATAGAAAACAGTAACAACCCACTGGCCAAACTTTTGGAGAAACCAACTTTCCCACCCTTATCACTGTCTCCATTTTTAGAGCACCCAAGGAGCCCCACCACCTCAATCACATCACTCTGCCATTCCTGCCTGTCCCCACCCTCTGCTCACCAGCATCACCTTCTGGTAAACCTTCTACTCGGCACCTTACCGAGGACATACACATACTTAGTGTTACCTTTTATTAATTTTTCCAAGTCTTCTGGACATCCTATAAACTTCTCTTCAAACTGAAGACAGAAAAACAAGTAAAGGCATTCTCATTAGCCCATTCTGTATCATTGGAGATCTTTTAAATTGTGCGGTCTCTGTCTGGTAGAATATTCACAGAAGTTAAATCTTGTAGTAGATACAAAAGAGTCTGATATTGGCCACTAAGAAATTTAGATTAGGTCCATCAACAAAAGGGTGTTTATTACAACAATCTTGTGGTGTTCCTCCACCCTGACCCCATTCTAGAACCTAAGAAGGGAGTGATCTCTGGCAGGCCGTCACTGGGAAATTGACTGTTGAGGCTTTGGATTCTCGGGAAAGCGTTTTGACTTCACTGAGAACAGAATAGAACTTTCTGTGTCTCCGTCATGGCACATGGCGTGGCCCGTGGGCATCTACATTTCTTATTTCCAAGATATATTTATTATATTCATTATACTTTATTAAGAAGAGGCCTATTTCGGGACTTCTCAACTGTAAACAATGAGTTTATAACACATCATGGAAACACAAAAGGGATGGGATCAGACTAACTCTTACGTTGTCCTTTATGTAATTGGTGAATATTAATTAAGGAAATTAAATCCTTAGTAAAACGATTTTTATATTCACTTTTTTTTGTCTGTGCCCCTGTCTTTGGATTCACTCAAAGCAGTTCTGTCTGGATGGCTCATTCAGCCAGTATTCAATCATATCCTTTTCATCTTTGCCATCCTTGATCTTTGAATATTGTGCTTTTGCATTTATTGGCCCCATTTCAAGATTCTCTAAACAGCTGTCAATTGGTCCCTGCCAATTTGACATCTCTTTAAACACACCGATATTGAGTGCTTGTAGGTTGAGCTTAAGGTTACAGACTGTGCTCTGAGCATTTCGCCTTTCTCAATAACCGCTCCTGAAGTGTAAACATAGCTTGAAAATCCTTGCTTATTTTAATAGTCATCTCCCAGTTCTGAGACTTGAAAAATGTATATCCAATGTTTTTAAGTCTTCAGTTATTACATATTTTGTGTGCATAGGTGTTTGTCGGGAAACAAACAAGCAATCTGCGCCTACGTATGTCTGTGCACCACACACATGCCTGGTGGCCCTAGATGCCAGAAGGCAGTGGATCTCTTGGGACTGGAGTTACAGATGGTTGTGGGCCACCATGTAGGTTCTGGGAATAGAACTTGAATCCTCTGGATGAATAGCTAGTGCTCTAAACCTCTTAGGACATTGCTCCTCTCCTTATCTATATCTTTCAATTTCATATCTGGGGGCTGGAGAAAATGGTTCAGGGGCTAAGAGCACCGAGTGTTCTTCCAGAGGTCATAGACTTGATACCAGCACCTACATTTGACGCCTTTCAAGTGTCTGCACCTCCAGTTCCAGATCCAATGCCCTCTCCTGTCCTCCTTGGGCACTGCACACAAATGGTGCACCACAATCCGTCCAAGCAAAATCACATGCACATAAAAGAAAAACTTAAAATTCAATCAGTATATATGTGGTTGTGAAATCTGGATGGCTGTCACCATCTTTGGGACTTTTCCAGTCCCCCACTCTCTCAGTTCTCCAGTCCTGCAATAACACATCAGCAGGTTTACACCCTCCCCTCTGCATATCCAACCGTCCTCACCTCACACGGTCCTTTAATTATCTCATCAAATGTTATGTTTCCCACCCAAAGGAAAGTTTAAAACTGTCATGATCAAGAACTGAAAACCCAGTCGTATCCCCACTTGGATTTGACATGCTCAACACTCCCTCTCGATCATGCTAATAATGAAATTTTTCATCTTCAAAATTTTCGTATAAATACATGCTACTCCTTTCCCGTTTTGATCTGAGAAGTCTCAGAGCTGAGTCATAAATTTCTTAGTAATGTAATGAAAGGACATCCTTTGAAGCTGAGAGATTTCCCAGCTGTGAATCAGGTGCCTTTCCCTCTCATACACAAAGCAGAAACATTTTCTGCAGCTTAGGGAACAATATCTACAGCCAATTCTAAAATAAGTTGATGAATCCATCCTATCTGATGTCCACCTCCAAAATAGACCTGCAGGTTCTGGGCGTTGAAAAGTTTTATTTAGGGACAAGTTGAACATGCCTACAGCAGGTACACAGGAACTTCGATGTGGGTGCTTGCTGGTCAAGCAAGATCCAAATTCTTTATTTTTGTTATCTTTAATTACTGGTGTGTGTGTGTGTGTGTGTGTGTGTGTGTGTGTGTGTGTGTGTGAAAATTAGTACAGAATCCACAGAGGACAGGGGCAGCAAAGTCCCCTGCAGCTAGAGTTATTGGCAGTTCTGAGTCACCATATGTAGGTGCTGAAAACCAAACCGGGGTTCTGCAAAATTGGTAAGCACTTCAAAATGCTGAGCCATATTTCTGGCTCCTCATCTAAACTTCCTTTACTTTTGAGTATATAAATGTTTCTGTGTGAAGGCCTGTGTGTGTGTGTGTTTGTGTGTGTGTGTCTGTGTGTGTGTGTGCACGCACATACCAGGACAAAGCTGCGATGTGAAAAGACATACAAATTTTGGTTGTTGCATGGGTTTCTAAATCCAAAACCAGGGCTTCCCACTTTAATCTCCTGAGCCACCTTGCTACCAATCTAGGGCCGTAGAAAGGACTTCTTTCCTTTCATAGTTAAAAGGGACTTTTTAGTCATGAAAGTTTGAAAATTGGTTTCTAATGTGATTAGTAGTTTGCTGACGATCCCATAACCCCACAGATTGGACTGACAGACAATGAAATGACGTCAACCATGTGCACAGCACTCACAGAGGGGCAGGGAGTGGTGACATCATCACAGAGGGAGGCTGAACTGTGATGGGCTTGGGGGGTGTGAGGGGGATGATGTCAGTGGCATCCTGTGGGCACATTGAGCTGGAAGGTCTGAGCCAGGGTCTCTAGCGGCCTCTGCCCACTGCCTTCTCAGTTACCATGGACGGGGAACAGGAAGGCTTGTACAGACGCCCCACCCCCTTCTCCTGAACTGAATCAACAGTCCTGTGTCTTAGAACATCCCCTGAGCCACAGAGCTGGCATACACACACTGGCACCCAACTATTCATGTATTTGAAGCAATCCTCCTGGGCTGGCACTAGCGAGTCTTGGTTCTTATGCACTCCTTCATTCAGAAAGGATCAGCTGAAGCCCTGTTCCTTTAGGAATGGAGGTGGATTCCACACCTGAGGAAAACACGTTGCCATGACACTGAGGGAGGACACCAAAGCCGCCTTCACAGGACACCACTTCATCTTTTACCCTTCCCATTCTTCTCCTGTCTGAGGAGAACAAGATCTCAGGCAGCTTCCAGCACTTCCTCTCAGGAAATACCAGTTCCTGGAGTGAGCTGGGAAGTGTTTTGCCCAGGGACGCCTCTAGAGGGAAGCACTAAGGTCTACCAGAATTTTCTGTCCTAAAGCTGGAAAACAAAACATTTAACCTCAGAATGTTGCTTCCACACTCACTTGGGCCCTTCTCACACTTTCCTGAAAGCTCACAGATGTGGGGCCACCTGAAGATGGGAACCCCATGTTATTCACCAGCTTTACCCTTCCAACCATCCCTGTGTGTGACATTCAAGGGTCCTACAAACCGGTTACTGAACTTTGTTCTGTTTTGAATGGCAGTTTGCTAAAGCCTCTGTGTCAGGCCTGCCATTCGTGCTGTATATTTTAAATTAAACTTTATTGACTATAAAGTGCAGTCTGTCCTTTTTAATTTTATTTAATATTATATTCAGAAAGAGTATATGTGTGTGTGTGTGTGTGTGTGTGTGTGTGTGTGTGTGTGTGTGTGTGTACATTCATGCAAAAGTGCTCATGGAAGTCAGAGGTATTGGAACCCTCTGAGGCTAGAGTAACCGCAGTTGTGAGCAGCCTGGGTGTGTCCTCTGCAAGGACACCATGGGGTTTTGACCACCGAGCCATCACTTCAGTCTCCTGTCCCCTTGAAACCATTTTTATCATGGAAATTTCTGCTTCTACGCTGTAAAACTACACACAAGATGCAAAGATCCTCCACCCATCAATCACCAGCTCCAATAACCCCCAGCTAATGTCCACCGGGTTCATCTCTGCCCACCTTCTCTGTGACTCTGACCTTAATGTCAGACTTGAGGTGTCAAATGTCCCCATCACAAACAATTTTATGAATCTTAAATACTCTTGTTAAAAGAACAGGGTCATACCTATAGCCACAATATCATACCGTAATTTGCAATAAATGATTGGAATTATTTAATAATCAATATTTGGGTTTGTATTTTTGTATGTCTCATTATGTAACTTGATTCTAATACTCAAATAGTTAATTAATCAAGTAAGTATTTTATTTTTTTTCCTGAAAATATCCTTTAATGTGAATGTGTTCTTTGATAGAGAGCATGGTCAAATTTTCAACTGTTCGAATCAGTCCATCTTCTTACTACGTGAAGATCACTATTAACAAGAAACCATGCACCATTTTCCTGGGTGGAGCCTCTCAGCTTAGAGAAGTATTTAGACTTATCTTATGTCCCATTCCAGAAGAGCAATGCACAACCTACCTCCACCCCTGCTGCAGCCAGGAGCCACCTGATGCACTCCATCCTGCCCCGGCCATTGAAGTAGTGAAGCACGGGCTTCCCAGCCATGGCTGCAGCTGAGGTTTTACTGTGAATGGAAAAACAAAAAGGTCAATCCCTGGGAGACTGTGCTCTGGGATATGGTCAGATATGGTCAGTAATACAACACTAGGGAAGGGCAGTATGCCTTCTTCATGGATGAAGGGGAACAAAGACGTCTCTCTCTCTCTCTCTCTCTCTCTCTCTCTCTCTCTCTCTCGGTTTTTTGAGACAAGATTTCTCTGTGTAACAATTATAGCTGTCCTAGAAAACTTTTTGCAGACCAGATTAGTCTCAAACTCACAAGTCTGCCTGCCTTTGCCTCCCCTGTGCTGGGATTAAAGGCATGCACCCCAGTAGGTTTCTATATCTTAATTTCTCACTCAGCAGTGACCAACAATGAACAATGCACCAAACCAGTCTCAGCTGGTCATAGGCTTTTGCTTTGAGGACATAAGCAGAGTAAGTAACCCTGATCCTATAATGATAAAGGATCTGCGATCTTGTTTCGCCTATTTCTTGAAAAGTTGTGTATGCTTGTTTTGTTGGGAAGTTTTGTCTGTTTTTTGGTGTGTTTGCAAGTTTTGCTGCAATCATGGAGCTGAACAAGAATTGTCAGGCTATTTTTTACTGTTTTTGCTACCAACAGCAGCCTGTTACCACCCAGCCCTGCTGTGGCTACATTTATGGTCAGGGCTCAAAATTTATCTCTGGGGTTGGCAGGAGTCCAAATGGCTTTTTGGTGTAGATAATGTTAAACCTACTTTATGCTGTTCCTTATTAAAAATCTGGCTCTAGGGATGGGGAGATGGCTCAGAGGTTAAGAAAACTGACTGCTCTACCAGAGCTCCCAAGTTCATTTCCCAGCAACCTCATGGTGGCTCACAACCATCTGTAATGAGATTTGGAGGCATCTGTCTCCTGTGGGCAGCTACATGGCTTCTCTTTGACTCCACCTTCTTTCTGCCAGCATTCAGTTTAGTTTTCCCTGCCTAGCTCTATCCTGCCCTATCACAGGCAGCTTTTCTATTCATTAAACAATAACAGCAACACATACACAGAAGGATTTCCCACACCAAGCCTTACTTAGTCCCCTGTATATGTTCAAAGTTAAGCTTAAAACAAGTAACTAGAAACAAAGTTTGTCTATTCAGATATGCTTAGACATTTCTCAAAAATATACCAGAGATCTACAACATATGGCATTTAAAATGTTGATTTAAAAACTTATGATATCAGACAGAGACTCCCAGATCCTCTCAGTGTCTCAAGGTCTCCAAGGAATATTACCCACACCACGACTTCTCCACCTGGATTTGGCAATGCTGACCACTGGGCAAGATGCCCCAGTGAAACAACTGCCACCAGGACCCGGCCCAGGTTGTGGACAAGCAGAAGGAAACTGGAGAATTGATCGCACCCCTTTTGCTTAGACAAATAAGGTAGGTCTTACCCATGTTCCTCCACAGAAAAGACTCTCAGCTTATGGGCCTGGTGAAGACTGGTACTGTTCTGATACTTCTGCCTCCAGCACTATGGAGACCTGTGCTACGGACTGGCTCAGGGGAGCCACTCAGACCGTAGGGAATCAGGGCGAAGGCACAGGGGAGATCAGGATACGGCGAGGAAAGTGACACACAGACACTCTTCAATGTTGAGACATGCTGTTGCGATTTACTTACTTCAGTGCAGGATTATATATTTTTTTACAATCAAAGAACTTGGCAAAGGCATACATCATCAAATCATAAAACAGAAAAGAACAGCATAAAATAGTTTACAAAAAGAATCTTTGAAGATGCTTTGACTTGGGCACAAGGACTTCTGATTTCTCACACTTTACAAAACAAATTCTCTCCTCTTGCCTTCAAAGAGATCACTGCCCTTGAGCTAGACCATCTTTATCAGCTTGCAGGTGGCTGGTTGGTTTGAGCTAAGTGACCTTATGTGCCTGGGTGAGAAAGAAAAAAGGCTACTATCTCCCTGGGAAAGCTTTCTGCTAGGAAAATTCTAATACATAGTCTTAAATCTCTCTGAAGTTTACTTTATATCACTAACTTCAACTCTCCTCCCTTCTCAATTCTCAGGCTCAGATAATGTCAGCTTAGGCTAGGTCTTTTTCTAGCCTAAGAAAGGTTTCATAGGCCTTCTGTTTACAATTGCACATATTTCTCAGGCAAATGCCTAAAGCTTCTAAGGTTTTTCCTAGTAAAATTAACTCCTTTTGTTTCACATCATCAAGCAATTGTCCTAATGATGATTCTGGCAAGTCCCAGAACTGGCTACTTTTTTAAGGCTTTAAATAATAGCAGAGCAGAATTCAAAAATGTCCTTAGCAGTCTTGTTTGTATCCGCAACTGCCTGGAATAGTCTGATCTGTTAGCAATATGCAAGAATCACAAAGAACATACAGACAAGGGAAAAGACACACATATGGCTCCAAGGACAGCCAGGTTGAGTCAGTATTAATGACAATTCAGGTAGCATTACACCACAACTGGTTGCCAAGGGACCGCCTGGAACATACAGCTCCTAGAAGCACAAATCCCACTCCTACCGGCAATATTTGGCCACCCAGTCAGCATTTCTGCTACACTGGCAAGACAGCCGTGGATGTAGCAGACCTGCGTATGGCTCACTGGGTATGGGCTGATCTCTGTCATTTTTAATAGATTTGGAAGCTGCTTGGTCTACACTCAGGTATAATTTAACCTTCTTGGATCTCTGAGAGTATTGACCAATGGACTAGCTATAGCTGTCAGCTTAGCAGCAGGCAGCCAGGTTCTTCCCCAAGGCTGCAGCCAGCTTGTTAGCTCATTTCATATGTAAAAATCCAGAGTTGCTTTTCCTAGAGCTACTAGGTGTCCTGTTGAGAAAAAGTAGACAGGTTTGTCTTGCTTCATAAAAAAAGATGAACAGGCTTCATAATAGTTTGATAGGCTTCATAATAAAAGATAAACAGGTTTCAGATGTAACTTTCCACTAAAGGAATATGATTAGAACGTGATTAAAAATGACTTTTCTCAGTAGTAATGGCCTGTGTCTCTGGTGAATGAAGAAATGGAATAAAAGAATAAAATCTATACAAGTTTTGAGGGTCTAAAAATGTTTTGAGTCTAAAGATATGAAAGCTTATAAATTTGAAGGGTCTTGAAAACAATTTAAGTTATATAAATAAGATATAAGTAAATACTTTAAGATATAAAAAGTGTTTCAAATTTCTTCCCCTGCTACGGTGTACAAGTTCAGAACTTAACCTTAATAAGGTTAATGATAAGTTAATAAGACTTTAAGGTACTTCTCCCTGGGCTAAGGACATCTCACTGCAATCCTTATCTGGCTCTCTGGACAGAGGATAATGTATATGCTTTTAACCCAAACTTGTAGTTTTTGCTAGGACTCAATGGTATGAGACTATTCCTGCTGTTTTACAGATATCTGTTACCTGCTTTTTCTACGATATGGTTTTCAGTAAAGTATCTAAAACTTTTATGTCTCTTTTTGTCAACAAAAAATTCATGTAAGCTTCAGAGAATCTGGGAAGTCATTAAACTTGGATTCACTTCCCACAGGTCAAAAGGACTCCAGATAGGTACAGCCTAAGGTTTCCCCACGTGTCTAGTGCTGAGAATGACATTTTTCTCTCTCTTGGTCTTGAGCGTCCTCCCTTTCCCACTTACTAGAACTATGGACCTGAATATTTTCCTTTAAGTGCATCAATTTTAACTTCTGTTCCTCGTTTAAACTTGTCTCAACAGGATTCCACTTGGTTGACAGACACATTTAAGCATCGGCTGCTGACGACAACCTGTTCTAAATGACAGAGCCCTGGACGTGCTGGAAGCTGTGGACCAGTCCAGCCCATGTGAATGCTCCCTATGTCTTCAGTGCAGTCAGCCAACCAGATGCTCCTGATGAGTGCCCCACTGCCTGAAGTCCCTCCTTGCTTTTGACCAGCCTTTTAGGCTTCTTGGGCCCTGATAACAATGCCCCAATGTTACCTTGAAGTAGTTATAGAAAAGAAAATGTCATTCTGTGCCCCCTTTCTAAAATAGGTTGAAATGCTGAGTCAAGGGCGAACTCCCTGACTTGGGGCACAAAATGGCTACCTATAATGTTCATTGCCATAGCCGAAAAATAGGCCCAGAGTTGTTAATGAATGGATTTATTAAATAAAATGGTTCTGCAATAGAATAAGATACTCTGGTCCTTTAATGCAGAAGCAAAGAGGGCATTCAGTTTATAATTTGGTTGTACTCAAAGATAACAGTTATAAGCCCTGGTGGCCAAGGATGGTCACTGCCATAGAAAAATCTGTGAGCTAATAGCTCTTGGGTCCCAATACCATCGCCTTGAAACTCTAGGCAAAGCAGGACTCGTGATTGGGTCCTGTGGTCTGTACTTGTGAAGCGGGGAATGTATGGTCCAGTCATAATAGGCTCAATAGAGATCAGCCAGTTAAAGAGCAGGCCTGAGTTTCAGGTTACCCTAAGGCAACACCAGGTTCCAGAAAAGACCACAAACTGAGACCACTCAGGCACCGCCCAGGAATGGAACCTTCAAGGGGAAAATACCTAGGGATCTAAAGAAAATACCTGACATTGCAACCATTGTGGGTAGGATCACCAGATGTCCCTTAGTCTAGCACATACCCAGTTCCCATTCACCAAGACACCCCAATCTCTGCTGTGACAAAAATCCTAGCCCAATTTGGCTTATTGTTCTCCAATCTCACTGCTGTGTCAGATGGATGCAGGGTTGAAGCTCAAGTTTAAATAACAGCTCTTTGCTTTTGTTACAAGGACAGACTCCATAGTGTTTTTTGGGTGACCCTGTGATCTGGGCATAACAAGGTGAACCGGAATCAAACACAGCAGGAGTCAATGGTACTGAGCAGTGAATATGATAAAACTATGTTACAATTACATGAGTAGAAATTACATTATAGAGCCAGCTCCTTTGCACAATTATTGCATGCTAAATAGAACATTGAAAAGCTGTTTTTCACTGATGGAGACACAGACATGGAACTTGTTACACAGGTTATAAAAGAGAGAACTGACCTAATGAGAGTCCAGGCTTCCTCTCTTTTCAGCTCCCCAGCTCCTGTTCCAGGTGAGTGTGGAAGCTACTTTAACAAGGTGACCATCCTCACCAAGGGGGTGGGGACCAATAGGGAGCAGCCACTCCCATCGACTCCCACAAGTTCAGAATTCCAGAGTTTCATGATAGACTAGAAATATGATAAATCAGAGGGAGGGACCTCTGAGACCCAATCTCTTCCTGAAATTCCAGAGTCCTTCAATGTAGTTCCTACAGTCCTGTAAATAACCTCTTACAGGCTTTCTACAAAAAACTCTAAAGAAACTCAGCCTCTCTCTCTCTCTCTCTCTCTCTCTCTCTCTCTCTCTCTCTCTCTC